AGAGCTCAGCCATGAACAGAAAGGCGGTGGGTCTAGCTGACCCAGCTGCTCTGTGAGAGAAAATCCCCGTGGTCTGTTCTCACAGGGACAGCCGAGCGAACGCTGTGGAGCCGTTCCACGCTGCCATGCCGGGCACTACAGTAGATTGTTTCGATGGCACACGGCATCACCAAGTTACCCCTCCCCCCTCAGTGTTGTTGGGGACATACATAATGTCTTTGAAAACTATCAAATGACACAGACTTGGTCATTACCATTCTTCGGTGGGCCTAGCCCCACTGGTTGGACTGAGAACTGCAAGGTCAGCAGTTTGAAAGCATCCGCCAGCATCCGCCACGCTGTGGGGGAAAGATGGTGCTTTCTACTCCTGTGAAGAGTTAGTCTCAGAAAGCCAGTGGGATATTCTACCCTGTCCTCTCGGGCTGCTATGAGCCAGAGCCAACACGACGGCGACGGCGGTGAGTTTGGTTTTTGGAAACACTCTCACTATGTACAGCACAGGAAGAGGAGGAAGTGCTCTGGGCTCACTGGGCCATGAAGAAGGGTGAGGGGGTTGGGGTCCAGTTAAGGATGTCAGATATGAGTTTGAGTGTGCCTTCTTCTCTCTCTGGGCTTCAGTTGGGCTGTCTGTGACGTGCATGAGGTTAGGGGGGAGTTGATGTTGATGCTCTTTGATGTCCTTTCTAGTCCTATTACCGGACGGTTAATTTCTTCTCCATTCCCCTGGGTCATAAATGCCAAGAAGAATCACTCTGGGAAACACTAACATTACTTCCCTTTGCCCTACATGATTTGTCTGGGATTCTTGCTGGGTCTCCCATCCTGGCTGACATACAGGCAAGGATTTCTTTCTTCCTCCATTGGATGGAGCTGTTCAGATTACACTTGCTTCCCCGTGACTGTGAGCTTCCTGAGGGAAAAGGCCTGGGCTGTGTCCATTGACCTTCAGAGTCCCCCCTCAAAAGCGAGCCCCGTGCTTTGGACAGCACAGAAACCCAGTATGGAGGTGCCTGGCTGATTTGAAGAGCATCTGGCGCCAAGTATGTGGACGCCCACACACTACCAGCTTCTCCCTCACCTCCAACTTTGGCCCCCTTTGGCCCATGTCTTGGGGGATCAGGAGGTGAGTGAGGATAGGCAGTGGGGAGAGTCAATTCCTTGTGGTTGTTTTACCTGAGCCGGTGCCCCTCTGCAAAGCAGGTCTGCTCTGCCTCTTCCCCAAACTCCCCCCCTGGACAGAGAGCTGGGCCAACTGAGAGGGCCCCGAGGGAGGGCATTCCTCGTTTCCCAACTCAAACTCCAAGGCCGAAGGACTGTCACCGATCGGGCTTCCCCAGTGGGTTGAGTCTTCATCAAGCCGGCACGTGGAAACCTTCCTGACTAGACTGCAAGCCCCAGGAGGACAAGGCTCGTGGCAGGGCCCCGTCCCAGGAGGATGTCTAGGCATCTGATGGCACCAGTGGACTGGGTGGATGATGCTTTGCCACAGCAACTAGCCCACTGCATGGCAATGGATGCTTATTTTGTTTCTCTTTCCCCTGAGACGCTCTTTCCTGCTTCACAAACGTGGAGAGAGCGCCCTCTTCCTCTCTGGAGGGCCTGTCTCCAGAACCGAGTCCAGTGCCCCCTGGAGTGGATACTCACTTCACATTGGGTACGTGGGTGAATAAAGTCACACTAAAGGGCTTCTGTGAGGCTTTGATTAAAAAAAAAAAAAGCGAGGTAAAAGCTCACTTCAGACCCTAACATGTTCCATAGTAGGAGAGTCTCTGCAATCGAAAAGTTCTGGTGGTTCTGCTGCAGTTCCTGTGATGCACTTCTCAGAACAGCCAGAGAAGACGCTCGTCCCCTGGGATCTGAACCAACAGTGCTCCTTAGGGGAAGCAGCCCTCTCTCCCACCAAAGCAGGGCTCTCTCTGTGCCCATGCCACGTGCGGTGAGAGCTGGTTCTGAAGTAAACAGCGGCGGTGTGACATGTTCCGTGAGGGAGTACATGAGCCTTGTTTCAACATCGGTTCTTATACGTGTGACAGGGAAGGTAGGTCTGCTCTCTTGCCACTTTTGTCAAGCACATTCAGTTCCTTAGCTGCCTAAATGCTCAGCAGCTGTTTGAAGGTTTTTGCCACAACCCTGGATTCTGGAGAAGGGAATTCTTCACCAGGTGGTTTCTCTCCCCTTCTCGTCTGTTCCATGAATGTCAATGTCAGTCGCTGGAATTCTGTCTAGAGTGGCAAGGTCAGGGGGTATGCTGAGGAGACTGTGCACATACTCTGGGCTGACATCTATTTCCTTCGAATAGCAAACCTGCTCATACGTTTTCTTGCCTAGAGACAGGGACCCACACTGTGCCCCCGGTGCTCGTTGCTTCTCAGGCTGCCTGTGCCCATGCTGACCCCTCTGAAAGGAGATCCAGCTCCTTCCGGGAAGAGCCTCCCACTCAAGTCTCACCTTCTTGATGAGAATGGTCCTCCCGGCCCAACAGCTAATACAGAACTCTACGCCAGCACTTTCCACAGGCCATTAGCACACTGTGTCTTTCTTGTTCCTTTGAGTCCCTGCAGAGCAGGGCCAGGACTTATCTTTGGGCCTGGGCTCATAGCAGAAACTGGGTATTTACAAAAGACACAAGAAGCAATGAACTCCACAGATTTCAGACAGACTAAGGCCTAAGGAGGAAAACAGGCCTGCTATCTGCCCAGGCCCAACCCTACAGGCTCCATATTGACAATTATTCCACTGGGATTAGGCTGGCTTGGCCCATGGAGGGCAACAGACAGAAGGACTGAAAGCTGGCTCAGAGAAAGACCTGTGTGGAAGGCAGTGCCTTCTCCTTCCAGACTGCTGAAGTCAACTCCTAGCGAATGGAGCAGAGTAAGTACGGTATCACATGGTTGGTCTTTCAATCCTTACAGTGCCTGGAGATTGTAAAATGGTTCTAAATAGAATATTCCTAAAGGCTGGCTTGGAAAGCTGTCCTCTCGATCCCTACTCTATCCAGTATACCAGAATGTCCTTTGGTATGAATAAGAGCTACATGAACATGTTTGGACAAAGTCAACTGTAAGTCACCAATTAGAAAGAGAGGGTTAACAGTTTTGATATTTTCTCCCCTTGCCACTTTCTTATTAATCTCCCCAAAACTCCTGTGATTGGTAGAAGCAGGCACCACTTGTAGGTGGTAGAGTAGAGCACATAACGGTGGTATGTATGCAAGTTTACACAACAGAAAATGAAGAATAGAATACACGGGCAGAGTGGTCCTCGTGGTCCAATGGCCCACAGCTTAGAAAAAGGGGAGTGATCCTGGGGATGTCAAGCACCTTGCATGAGTCCCATGAACTGGAATCAGAATATAAATTTCTTTACCGGTGAACAAGGAGCCACCTAGTTCAGAAGCAACAAAGCCCACATGGAAGAAGGACACCAGTCTGTGTGACCACGAGGAACTGAAGGGATCAGTTATCAGGCACCAAAGAACAAAAATTCATATCATGGTGTGTTCACCTCCCTGATATGATCACTAAAGACAAAGTGGGTGCATAAGCAAATGTGGCAAAGAAAGCTGATGGTGCCCGGCTATCAAAAGATATAGCGTCTGGGGTCTTAAGGGTTTGAAGATAAACAAGCGGCCATCTAGCTCAGAAGCAACAAAGCCCACATGGAAGAAGCACACCAGCCTATGTAATCGCGAGGTGTCGAAGGGATCAGGTATCAGGCATCAAAGAACAGAAAAATCAAATCATTGTGAATGAGGGGGAGTACAGATTGGGGACCCAAGACCCATCTGTAGGCAATAGGACATCCCCTTACAGAAAGGTCACGAGGAGGAGATGAGCCAGTCAGGGTGCAGCATAGCAACAATAAAACACACAACTTTCCTCTAGTTCCTAAATGCTTCCTCCCCACCCACCATCATGATCCCAATTCTACCTTACAAATTTGACTAGACCAGATGATGTACACTGGTACAGATAGGAACTGGAAACACAGGGAATCCAGGATGGATGATCCCTTTAGGACCAGTGGTGAGAATGGCGATACCAGGAGGGTGGAGGAAGGGTGGGGTGGAAAGGGCGAACCGATTACAAGATCTAAATACAACCTCCTCCCTGGGGGATGGATAACAGAAAAGTGTGTGAAGGGAGACATCAGACAGTGCAAGATATGACAAAATAATAATAATTTATAAATTATCAAGGTTTCATGAGGGGGCAGGGAGCAGGGAGGGAGGGGATAAAGGAGCTGATACCAAGGGCTCAAGCAGAAAGCAAATGTTTTGAGAATGATGATGGCAACAAATGTACAAATGTGCTTGACACAGTGTAAGTATGTATGGATTGTGATACAAGTTGTATGAACCCCCAATAAAATGATTTGAAATAAATAATAAATTCCTTCAACTTCAGCAAATGAATGTTCTACAAGACTAGGTCCCCCCACCTTACCCCACCCGTGTCTACCCCAGAACTTGAGAGCAAAATCAACGACTTCTATTAAAACCCCACAGGGACAGAGGCTGTGGGGGGAGAAGTTGTCCCCCAGTATACGTGGTGACAGTTATCACCAGAATCAGAGCAGAAGAGACCTTAACCAGAGGCGACCCAACTTGGCTCCCCGGGAGGAGCCCCCTTCTGTGGCATCTGTGAAAGAGGATTGGACAGATTCTTCTTGTCCCCATCTAGTGAGGAGGAAACTGTAACGTTGCTAGGCAACTCATTCCACGGTTGAATTGTTAGAAAACTCTTTCTTCCATATGCCGTCTCCTCTGCATTTGTGGCTGGACAGCAATTAATTTCATTTACATTAGTTAATTTTAATTAATTCAAATGGAACAACTTGTGATATGTACTCAGGCCACATGTCCCGTTTCCTGCCTGGCCTGCCAGTCTTCTTGCCTGGACAGCTGGTGTTGGTGGCCTATTAGCTCAGCAATGCCCATCCTTCACCCCCTGCCTCCCACTTCCATTGCTGCTTGGGGCCCATGGGAGTCAGAGCCCTACCTCCATCGTTGTCTTTACTGTCACCACAGGCGGTTTCCATGGATGTGTCACAGCCAGCTCCTCTCCAGCCCAGCTGGCAGACGCAGTGCCACCCGTTCAGGTCCAAGGTACATCTGCCGTTCCCATTGCACAACCCAGGGCAGCCCTCTGCAAGGCAAAGCACAGGGTCAGGGTCTGATCGCCATGGCCGAGTGCGGTGACACGCGTTCTCACTCCGCCTGAGCGCTCACAAAACGCCTTCACACCCATCAGCACCTTGGTGCTCACATTAGCCAGTGACTGGGTCTCACGAGACAGGTTCCAACCATACACAGTTGGCGACCAGGACCGAGAGGGGGAAAGGGGCGGGCTCAGGTTGCAGGGGCAGGAAGTGGCACAAAACCCAGACCTGGTGTCTCCAAAGCCCCCGCTTTCGCGAGCAGCTGGGCTTCCAGAGCTGGAGTCAGTGGATGCGGCTCTATCAGCATCTGACCCACGGGGCGTTGTGCCTGCTCCTTGTTCACTCCGCTGTGTGCCCTGCCTCTCTAGATGCTGTCAGGAATGAAGCAGGACTGGGTCCTCTGGGCACGTCACGCTGCCATTCTAGCAGGCCCCGCTTCCCCAGCTCTTGTTACGGGATCACTTCTATTGGGCCTTGGACTTTTCACTTACTTTGTCCGATTTCCTCCTAAATAACTGTCTGGGCTTTGAGGAAGTAGGCTTGGGCCTGTTTCCTCTCATCTTGGCTACACTTAGATACAGACTCTGCACCCAGAGGAACAACGGCGAGAGAGACTGGGGCTGCGATTGCAGGTCCAGGGCCAGGCAGGCTGCTTCCGCCTAATTGTGTTCCTCTGTACAGTCTGTTGACCTTTCTGTCATTACCACCTTCTCTGGGCTAGAGATGAGTAAAATCCCACCCTTACTTTCGAGTAGATTTATAGAAGAAGAAAAAATGTATTCTAAAGTACCATAAGGGCGATGTACAAGATGGGGCGGCAGCCTACTGAAGGGTGATCATCGGACTGAGAGAATGCATACCCTGTTGGCTGAAGCTCTGCTTTGGCCTTTTTCTCAGGTTTTCAAAGTCCCATTTAAGTAGACGGAAAGGTTCTTGATGACCATCTATTCAAGCTCCACACTCTGAGTGTGTGGTGGAGATTGTATGGGCAAGAGCCTATAAAGTATGCGATTCACTTCAGCGTCTATTTTGCTAAGACTTGGTTTCTGCCGTCTTCACTGTAACCAGCCTGCCCTCTCCTTTTCTCAGAGGGCCGCTCCAAAACCAACCCCCACGGCGAGCCGCCCATCTCTCTCCGCTGGGCTCCTGCTCAGACTCAGTGTCTGCCACCTCGAAACCTGATTTGCATGACTATCCTGAGCAGTGAGCTGCTGTCAATACGACTACACATGGGATTCACTGCGATCAACTAGCTGGACATGGACCCATTCTTCTGAAATGGGCTAACAAATGTGGAAGTGGATGTCCAGTACAAGCCCTGGCTCAAGGCAGGTCGGCACTCACTGAAGAGTCAATGAATTAGGAGCGAGGACGTTGGGTAGTTGACTGCAGCTCTGAAGTGAGAACACTTTCCTTTCCACTGGAGACGTCAACATAGCAACCAAGCAACCACTCTGGCCACCATGT